GAAAAAAAAATAGGGAGGGTGGGCCGGCGGGGCCCCTTGAATCTGCCACTGAAATACTCATCATAAAAAGTTTTTAAAATTATCCTTTTTGTCCTAATTATGCCCGCTTATATATTTCGTGCAAACTAACATTCATAAAAATAATGATTTATTAACTACTGATTAGCTTGTGACGTATTCAAAATTCGAACCATGAAAAACAAATAAGATAAACTTAAAACAGTGATTAATTTAGTCTATTTGCATGTACACTAATTTTAAAATCAATCAAGAGATTTTTGCTTTTCTTCCCTTTATTAATTTCACACTTTTGTATTAGTAATATTACGACTACACTAATGTGAGTGAAAATAATATCAGTCTATTGTCAAATAAACCTGACGAAATAACGTAAAATTATCAGCCATATATATTTCTAAAAAATCTCTAAAAAAATACGACATGTTTTTCTTGCAACATTTTCAACCAAGTTTAAGAGCGAGAATAGCCTAGCAAAAGTTTTGCACGCTGACATTAGATGTTTTTAGGTCATATTTTGTCTTTTCACTGTCGTATCTCAGCAAATATTTGTCGGATTTTTGTATTGCCTTCTGTATTTGGAAGGCAATCCTTTTCTGATTGCTTTAGTATCTGTTTCAATTGTATTGCTTGAAAAAGTCACCGTCATTTTTCACTTTTCGATTGGTGCTATGCTGACCACCCACCGCGTAGAGGCTGCATTTTTACCTCTAGCGACTTCGTTGGCTTTAAATTGCCATTTCAGCTGTTCACCAATCAAATATCTTGTTGTTCATCCTCCCCCCCCCCCACCAGCCCAGTAAACGGAAAGCTGAATATTCATAGTCCTTCTCATATAAAATATATGAATTCCCATTGAATGAAAAAAAAAAATCACCATCAAAACACTAATTTCAATATGAATTGAATGAACAATCCTGTCTAGGAAATATGGCCGCAAAAAAAAAAAATTGTTTTCGTGTGGGAATCGAACACACAACCTCCAGGTTTGCTATTCATTATCCACCATCAACTAAACTGCCTTTAAAAAAAAAAACTTGCCCCGTGTGGGAATCGAACCCACGATCGCTGAGTTTACTACCCCTGATCCAGCATGACTAAACGGAGGGAGGTAAACCGCGGCCCCTAAGCCATAAATGCAATAAACCTAGTACCACACCAAGTACCAGTTAGTCAACCTACTAGAAAAAATTCTTTGTATATATACACTACAGGTTAATATTATGCATGGTCATGGTGTCAAAAAAATGGGTCGTGGGCCAAGAAGGTTTATTTTTTGTCTAAAAAATGTATCATTAAATTTATAATCGATTTATGGTTGTTACCATCTCCATAACTTACACACTTTTTTTAAATGGACAAAATGTTTGAAAAATTCATTATGCAAATTAGAAAAAAATAGACCAATCATGTTACGGGATTGAATGTATTGTACTCGTTGATGACGTCGCGCATTGCGAAATAACAACAAACAACAAACTTTCATGTCCCAGCCTGGGAACCAGTCAATTCGAGCGGATGCCACTTCGGGCAGAGGCCAATTCGAGCGAATTCGAGCAGGTTTTTGTTCGAGCGGATGACCTATGCGAGTTATATACAAATTACTTTAAAATTTCTATTATTTCTATTTTTGAGCTAACAATTTGCTCAAGCTTTGCCTGGGAGGCAGGGGAAAGCCCCAATCGGTTCCGGAAAGACGCCTATAGCCTTATGTATAGCAAGTCGTATTTAATGGATTTTTAGGTTAACAAATAATAAAGTTCAATTTGTTTTGATTGTATATGGTAGGTGAATACTATTGGGAATTTCCTTTATAGCCTGCCATCTCTGTCTTAGAGTAAATAAATAAATAAACAAACAAACATACCCACATTCATAAAAATAATGATATATCTTAAATTATACTAACTTAGTCAATGTTATCCTTTCCACATGTTAAAACAAAAAACAGTGGGTTTTGAACTTTAGAAGAAAATTGGTATGATGTCATTATTACTGTACTGTTGATACTTGTCACAGGTGCAGATCCAACATTTTTCAAAGGGGTGGGGGCACACAACAGTTCCAGAATAGATAAATAAGTAGCACATAAAATTAATATGCATTGACATTTTTAAAATAGTGGCAAAACCGCCCCTGTCGCACACTAATACACCATTCATTTGTGCACCTTCTGACACACGTACATACGTAAAAATAATTTAAATTTCTATGGTGATTAACAATTACACAATTAAAGTTGCTCCCATTTACAAATATAGGTCTAAATCTTAAATCTACAAATACAATTACAAAATTATATAATTCAATTACAAATATATATATAGTTTGCTTTTGTTTGCTTGCTCCAATCAGTGGCGGATCTGGAGCGGGGGTGGTGGTGGTGGTGAATAGGTTTGCTAGCCACCCCCCTTTGTTTACCGTGAAAACAAAATAATGGTCACTCCTGTGCGTGTGCTTCTCGTGCACTCTAGTAAAACATACACTTTCTTTTTTAAGCTGAAAAGTGCGCAATTCTATTATAGTTTTAACTTGTTTGAGTCCATCTTGGTAGTCGGATTTGCAAAGACTGTAATTCAAACATGGAGTAATTATCAAAAAGTACCAAAAAAAAAAACCCACTTTTCAGAACCTTAGTAATCAGAGCATTTTTTTTACATTTAAAACAAATACAAGAATAGGGCGACGATAAATTTGCCCTTGTTCGCCATAATCATAAATTTTCTTACCTCAGCCCCAACCATGGTGGGGCTGAGGTCGTCTACACTCTCCATCTGTAAAGGTCCCTCTCTGGGCCCAGCTCTATTTCAAATTACTGGAATATTTTGAAAATTTCTTATGGAAATAAATGTTAATTGCATTGCTTAAAATCAATTAAAAGGCTATAGGCGCCAGAGCTTCTCGGGGACTTCGCCCCCTGGTACCCAACCAAGACTTTATTTTTCATTTCGTTCCCCCCCCCCCACCACTTTCAACCACGGATCGACGCCCTTGATTGTTTATTCCATCACGATAATAACAATTACCATTCAATAACAGTAGTAAGTATAGGCCTAGAGCATTTTTTGCAAGTGTTTTCACACGCATGGAATATTCAGTACATTTTCAGGACAGGTTGGGCAAAATTTCACATAAAAGCCCCCTAACGCAAATCCAGGTACACAATAGCTGAACCAACTTCAAAATACCACAAATACAAATGTGTGTGACGATATTTTATTGCTTTAGAAATGTGATTTAAAAATGTATATTGAATCACGCACTGAGTATTCAATATATTTTCACGACAGGTTGGGCAAAATACATATAGGCCCTACTTGATTCTTCTGACGCAAATCCAGGTATTGTCTATCATCACGAAAATAACATTTACCATTCAATAATAGAACAGTCATCGACCTACTTGCAGTGAATTGAATCTAAAATGTATTCATGATGTTATGATGATCTGAAGTGTTTAAAAACGTACACAATAATAGTTCAACCAACTTTAATACCACAAACAGGATCGACGCCCTTGATTGTTGATTGATTGATTGTACGTCCTTTTAAAGTTTAAATAGGATTATATTTTTAGATCATTAAACCTATTGAACGAGCCTCCAATAGCCCCGGGCCCCAGTGCTGTGCACTGACAGCACTGTCCATACCTACACCACTGGATCTAAGTATTATTAGTGGTTACATAACGTTTGCTATGCACTGTATCATGCGCTATAGAAGTGGAAGACCATAATGTATTGAAAATATGTATACTTCTCTCTCTCTGGTAGGGCCTACAGTACAAATCAGTTTAAAGTGTAAGGTATAGGATAGTGTGGATTTAAACATTTTCCTAATGGTAATTTTCAAAATAAGTGTCAAGGAAAATAAGTATGATTGTTGGAAAAAATGGTCAACATTTTATTTTGAATTCTCACCCTGACCTTCGCCTGGGCACAGTGGGCGAAGGTTTGGATCCGCGTCTAGTTAGCATGAATTTTGTAAGCCAAGACCCATAATTTATTACGTTTCTTCACAGAGGGGGGTTCGTCCGAACCCCCTGAACCCCCCCCCCCCACTGGATCCGCCACTGATTATAGCTCTGGAGTTGAAACATGACCGAAGTCCGTTTTGGTATACCAAATATAACTACTTTTTAGCGACTTCGTTGGCTTTAAATTGCCATTTCGGCTGTTCAACAATCAGGCCAAAAACATCAATAGTACAAACCATGAGGAGGGGGGCCAGATGCCCAAATGATATATGATATAATAATCTAAAACATTCCACTGAAGAACGTTCAAGTGAAGGTAAACGTCAAAATATATACCACACAAAAACCGTAGTAAACGAATAGATCATCGATTCACCGTCCTAGAAAAATTATTGGACATTAAAGGAAAAGTTTGATGAAGATCGTGGTATAATCCAACCAGAGTCAATTATTTATTTAGTTAATTTAAAAACTGTTTAATTGAAACCAGATGAAACTATCTGGACAGCATTATTATTATTATTATTATACAGTAACTGCATTAACAGTTGGATGAGCTTGAACTTTGGGGTGAAAATAAATTCAATTTCGGTGGGAATGTTTCCAATGCAATTAAATAAGCGCCCTAAATCGTGTTTTCTATTGTCTACTTAAAACGTTAAGCGTTAAAACCCCTGGCTGTTAGAAATAAACTGACGGTTAGAATACCGGTATAATGACAAGACAAATAGCAAATCAAACATTTGACAGCTCAATACTTTTAATGAATAAATTAAGCACATCCTTCGATCATTTTCTGATATTTCAACCTTGGTTTAAATAAACAGAATATTCATGTTTTCATTTAACAAATCTTATTAAAAACAAATCGATACTATATACAGTAGTAACAAATAAATTTTAATAGGACACGTGATTAAATTCTTGCAAAAGTAACCAGAATATTGGTCAAACTATCAGTTAAATAACTTGTGACATCAGTAAATCTTAACAATCCATCGTTGCAAGGTATCAGGTTAGTTGCAAATCTCATACATTTTATATTAGGCCTACAGTAAGTTTTTTCAAATATGCTTTTTATGTCTTAGAAAAATCAGTTGTCAATTTATTTTTCCCTTTGGAGCCTGGATTTAAGGTATCGATAATAACCAAACGGTTATGATGATATATTAAATCCTTGCGGTACACCACGTAGAAAGTTCTGAAAAGAACCGTTGTTTTGTTAAGAATATTTTGACGTTTTGATTGAGTTACTAGGAGAATAATATCTGGTATTATTCTCCTGATGATGATTGAACTACTCAATTGAAACGACGACACATGCAAACCTTTAAACAATAATACGGTTAGAGTGATGATAAATGTATTGTTTAAGTACTGCTATGATATATAAGTAACTAAACAAATTTCTACTTTAAATGAGAACGTTTGTTCAAACAGCTACAGTTGGGAAACTTTTTGTCATTTGAAGATGTAGCGACAGAACGAATGATGTGGAGGCCTATGGCTATTATTAACAATTTTGTTTAATATTATGTTTGTTTGTATAACATATTTGTTCAGTGATCAGATGAGCACGCGTTGTGTAAAATGTGCGAATGGGTATAATAATGGAAATTGTAGTGGTAGATTATTAAAATGCGTTAGGCTTATTTCCAATGCTCCTCCACGAGCCCATTCCGACCCACTGTTTACTTTTCTTTTCTTTAAAAATATATGATATTAACCGCTTACAAAAATGTACTTTTCTGTATTCTTGGGTGCTTTCTCTTACTCCCCAACAATTTCAAACCCTGATTAGTTACTATCATAGCCATAATACACGAACCCTAAACAAAATACATATTCCCTTACACAAAACGTTGTGTTTTCAACACATAGGCCTATGCAGTTTTCGGGTCCCAAACTGTCTAACAGTCTACCTACAAATTTAATTAACTCTCCATAAAAAATTTGTTCTCGATAAATTTAAAAAAAGTATCAAATATCTACATACAGGCATGAATTCTGAAACTAAATATAAGTTCATTTTTTCCCTGGATAAATATATTTATAATTACTGATATTTTGTAACGATATTAATTTTATTCAAGTTTAATTTTTTTTACTGAATATCTCTACAGGTTATTGATTTTTTTTAAAAATTTTTATATTTTTTTTTATTCGGGCAGCCCCTCACAAGCTTTTGTTTTTTCGGTTTTTGCCTCTCTTCAGAAATTAATATTAATCTTTTTATAAATATTACGTTAAATTGAATTGAATATATTAATGCGTACGTGTATTACTATATGGTACGTGTAACTCTTGTTGTGATGCTTGCATCTCTTGAACCTTTACTCCATTCCCTCTTTTTAAAAATAATTTTTGCGAGTGCAAGATGACAGATGGTAGTCCTCAAGTTCTTCTAATTGTATGCATTACCGATAGGTGTTTGTGTTATTTTGGCAGAAACACTATGATTTATTTTACCTATCCTCTCCTTGCCATGAGGCACATAAGGCCCATAACGTAATCTCTACATTTATCCCGGTCTCTTGCTGTTTCCTCTGCTCCTTTCCAAGATCTCCACCCCATTGCTGTCCTCTCCTGCTCCACTGTTTTCCTCCACATTGTTTTTGGTCTTCCTCTTTTCCTTTTCCCTTCAGGTTGCCATGTCATTGTAGTGTGTAGATTTCCAGACCTTGTTCGATTTGTTAAATGCTACCCTGGCTTTGTGTATTCTTTTCTTCATCTTTTCACCACCTCCTCCTTTACTTATTAAACTATATAAATTATCAGGTAGGAAATTTAATGTTTATCGTAATAAGTTTCCCCTCTTAGGTATTCTTATAATCAGTCATTTTCTCCATCTGTTCGGGATAGATTCCAGATTCCATATTCCATCAAATAACTATTCGAGTTTCTTCTCTGTTGTTTCTTTGTCTACTTTTAGTAGTTCTGCTGTTAGGTTGTCAATGGCACCTGCTTTACCATTTCTTGTTTTCACCAATGCTGCTCTTAATTTGGTGCATGTGATAGGCCCGCATTGATACCTAGTATTGTTACTTCTGGTGTTTGCTTAATATTTATTGTTTCAACCGGTACTTCTCTAACATTTCGTCGAAGTGCTCTCTCCACCTCTGATTTTTATCCTCATCGCTGCTAAGTTTGTTACCATTTTTTAAATCTTTCACTACACCCTACGCTCTTTTGGGTCTCGCACACACACACACCCACCCACACACTCACACACACACCCACCCACACACACACACCCACCACACACACTCATCGAAATAATAGTGGTCGACTTATGAGCACACATGGGGGAGGCCTATGTGCTTAACTTAAACGTAAACACAATACGCACCAAGAAATTAATACTTAATCTAACCTAATGCTAATCCTACTCGATTAAGATGTTTTGCGGTTGTTGATATTGTAATTGCAATATTTCATTTTAATTGACACAAATATTCTTTTTATATTTTTTTGTATTAAAATTAAAATAATTTATTTTTACCTTGTTTTTCGAAAAATATTTAAAATGTAGTTAAACTTACAAATACGTTTTTGTGCAAATTGTCTTTGTCTGTCTAGTAATTTAGATAATATTTCACTGGCAACAATGGACCATACTCAAAATGGCAATCGTGTGTTCTGGACGTCTTCAGAAGTCTACCCAGAACAAAGTAAAACTCCAGCTGAGAGGGGATATCAACCCGAGCGGAAGCCTACTGATTGTGAGGATCCGCAAATTCCTGATATGAAAACAGAAAATACGAACCTATACGATTATTATTCCTACAAAACTATATTACAATCCTTCTCGACTGAAGTCACGAGCACTCACGGACTTCCACATGTCTTTAAATCTACCAATTATCTAAGTCGTTGTATCTGGGCCGCTTTGTTTCTCACTGGTGTAAGCCTGTTTATTTGGCAGACGTCTGTCCTGATTAAGCTTTATCATGATTTTCCTATAAACGTAAAGGTGAGACGATTAAGAGGGTTTATAAATATGTCGCTTGTAAGAAAAATGGGGAAACCCTCAGCAATCAAACTGAAACAATAGCTAATTTAAAATCACCAAGTAAGTTACTATACAAACACTTTAATCGATTAGATACTATTTTAACGTTTATGCAAAAGAACATTCATCTGTTTTAAAATTGGTAAGACGGTATTTTTTTTATCGATCTTCTCTAGTGTTTTTATTTGATGTAGATAATGTCTTATTTATTTTTCATTTTAATAGATTGAAGTAGTGGCAAATTCTGAGCTCCATTTTCCCAGTGTCACTATTTGCAACACAAATAAACTTCGGCGTTCTGCTGTTGAAAAATCAAAACATCGACAAACTCTTGTTGTGGACAAGGGTGTAACCCTTCCATATTACGGTAAGAATTATAGCCACATTTTGAACCTTCTTTAGGCTATATATTTTACACTATTTTTATTTTATCTTAAGCTGACAAAGGTTGATAACCGAAAACGTTTGCTCATTGATTTAATAAATATTCCTGGCAACATATTACCACCTCTCCGAGGTCTGTAATTTATTATCTTGTTTGCCAATGCAGCCTTTCAGTTGTAACACACACGCACGCACACCCACCCACCCCCACCCCCCACACACACACCGCAACGCGCAGCGATCACTTGAGGCATGTTGTGGCAAAATGGTTAAGTTGTCGCACCTGTCTCTTATACACATCTTGGTCGTGGGACTAGTTTGGGCCCTACCTAAGCTGGTCGAACGTTTCGTTTGGGTCTGTACCCTAGCTGCACTGATGAGGCCTGGAAGGCCGAAACGGATCCGTCTGCAGGTATTGGGATTCCTTCCAGTGGATGCTTAGTTTATTTTGTCATTCTGATCGGATTTTCTCTACTGTTCCGTTTTAATTTTAATTTTAAATTGTTTTGCATTATATGGCCGTTTGCTGTTTTAAGGGTTTTTCCCATTTGCCTTTCAAACTTGTCTTGCATTATACGGAATCGGACGGAATCCACCCGGTTACAATATATTCCATATTTAGTGGGTGTGTGTTAATCTTCTTTCCTTTATCACATATCACACGGCATCTTACCTTAAGCCTTAAGTGGTACTTTTATACACTAAAATAACCATATTTCTCAACCTCTTTACAGAACCCTGCCTAGAAGGGGACTTCATGTGCAATACTGGTGGTACTTGTATTAAGCAGTATCTAAGATGTGACGGCATCAATCACTGCAAAGACTTCAGCGATGAGTACAATTGCGTGTATGGTATGTATGCTCATGAAATTTAAATACATTATGAAAATGCATAGGCCCTATGTATAATCCTTGTGTAATTTAGGTAAACCATTAGCTCTAGCAGGTATGGTTGATACTGGACGAATTTCTTTGTATTCAGCCTCAGTTCGTTACTTTCTATAAAACAGGTAGGCCTGTAAGGAATTAAGCTGTGTGTTTAATGAACAGTTAGATAATTTCTTAAACTTAGTTGAATCAGAGAACAAGCTGGTCATAGATGTAATTTCAAATTTCTTCATTATCGCAACATCATTTCCTTTATCAGGTCTACGAATTACATATTTATTGCGTAAGATTTTTAAAGTATTGATACGCTTGGCATCATAATTTAAGTTGCGGTTATTATAATCAAGAAAGTTACATGTCATGCACGAATTGAATTCTTAATCTTTTCACGTTTAATAAATGATTTACGTAGAGCATCAGCATTATCAAGTTTTCCCAAATTGATTCTGTGTAAACAAACCGATTCTGCGTAAACAAATCATATATCCTTATAAAAAAAAAACAGTAAACAGTAAGAAGTAACCAATTATCTTTAATAAACACAATTTTTGTTGAGCAAATACACTATAAAATTTAAATATCTGAAATACTTTGTAAATTAAGTAGTAAATATTAGCGTATAATTGAAAATTAGAATGGGATCTTTTGTCGTTAGGGATGCAAAAATCAAATATTATATTATTCGTTTTGTATTTACCGTGGGTCTCATGCCTCTTTGTTACACCACTGTATAGAACCAACTGGCAGAAACAAATAGTTGTAGAAACTTAGTAAATACGGGATTGTTTCGGTCTGTGTTTTAATAGAAGTTCCAGTTATTTATGTTTTGAATTGAAATGAAATGAAAGTTTACAATTAAATGTGGATGTGAATACCAGGGGTGGCGCCAGAATTTTCCCGACGGGGGTGGGGCCGAGGTCTCTGACGG